CTCCTGGGATGATGGGACGTCTCAGCCCTTGAAGAAGGTGTTTGAGAGCATCGTGGTGAGTGGAAAATCAGGGGTTAAAATAGAAACTGCTTTCCAACTTCAGACCTATGGACAAATCTCTCATTTTTGTTGTAAATGGAGCAAGATTCTCATCTTGAAGTAAACATCTCACTATGAAAGGTCCATGTTACTTCCTGGAATGGGTTGCCCAGGGTGGTGGGTGAGGCCCCATCCCTGGGGGTCTTTAAGGCCAGGCTGGAGGAGGCTCTGGGCAGCCTGATCTAGTGGGAGGTGTCCCTGCTCATGGCAGAGGGGTTGGAACTGGGGGATCCTTGGGGTCCCTTCCAACCCTGACAGATTCTGATCTGTTTTAGCAGAGGACTTTAGAGCCCTAATGGCGCAGGGGTTGGACTGGATGATCTTGGAGGTCCCTTCCAACCTAAATGATTCTATGATTCTTGCTGCTAGGAAAAGAGTGAAAACAGGGTCTGAGAACAGAGGTGCTGGGGTGGAGAATGTCTCTAAGTTCAGGATGTGGTCCTCCAGCCCCTGCTCCTCTGAGAGCTGCATCCAGCCAAGCAAGACAGGTTGCCCTGTGAGATGGTCAGAGGGTTTTCTGCTTTTGCAGCAGTATGTGGAGAACGTGAGGCTCCTCAGAGGTGCCTCAAAGGGGCATGGCTGGTCCTGAAGGGACCACAGTGCCCCTGCCCCACAGCTGCTGAGGCAGAGATCTCAGGATAACCCTCTGAACCCTGACATCCATCTCACGGCCAGGGCAGAAGGACTTGTGGAAATTCCTGCTTTTCTTGGTATCTAGGAAGAGATAACGGCATGAGAAAGATCTTCTTGGTGTTTTCCAAGAAGGAATGAGAAGGTGACTCTCCCAGGAGCACTCTGAGCCTTTGAAGACAGGTCTTTCATGGAGGTATTTATTAGGGGTGCTGAAGCCAGAGGCAGTGCAGAACTGGGGGGACAGGACACACCTCCCCACCCAGCCCCCCAGCCTGACCTCTTGCACTGACTCCTCTGCAGTCCCCTCTGCCTAGACTCTAGGTGACCCTGCTGGAGCAGGGAGGTTGGAGAAGATGAAGCTCTTGGAGCCATCAGACACTTTTCTAATTGGGGCAGGAAGGAGGAATACGATGGAGAACTGGAAGTTAATCCTTTATATTCTTCTTCTGACTCAAGGAGCTCAGTTTCCAGGCTGCTGCTTTTTCCTCCAGGACTTTTTAGACAATTGATTTTATTTACCAGCTAGCTGAACTCTCTACTGCTGCTCCACACCAGCCAACTTCAGGTGCTCCCTCAATTACAACGAGGGAGGCACAAAGCAAAACACAACTTTAATGGAGCCAAGGAGGTTGGAGCCAGGTGGGTTCGGGCTCTTCTCCCAAGGAGCAAGCAACAGGACAAGAGGAAATGGCCTCAAGTTGCCCCAGGGGAGGTTGAGGTTGGACATGAGGAAAAATGTCTTCCCCTTGAGGGTTGTCCAGGGCAATGGTGGAGTCCCCACCCCGGGAGGGGTTTCCAAGCAGCTGAAGATCTGGCCCAGGGTTTTGAAACGTGTTTTGTCATTATTATTCTTGGTATTTCCCCCAAAAGGGACAAACCAGATTATCTGGTCACTCCACAGGAGTGAGCCTAAGCCCTGGGTGAGATCGGGAGGGGTACCAGGAAGAATGCAGCAAGATGAGGATGAAGTAATCTCTGCAGGTTGCCTTTGCATATGCTGTACCCTCAAGAGCACCAAGATCAAAGGGCTTTGCTTTGACTGGTTATCACCCAACCAAGCAGGACTTGGCTTCTGCCTTTTCCTCCACCTCACAACCCACCCCAAGCTATGGGACTTGGGCTTTCGTGTTTGAGGAGCAGGAGCCAGAGAGGAGAGGACTCTGTCCCTGCTGAGCTCCCAGTTCCTGCTGGTTCTGAAAGCTGGAGGTGGTCACGGGGCACTGATGGCCCTGCCCATGTCCCGAGGCTTCTGCCTGGCTGGTTTCCCTCAAGAGGTGGTTGTGATGCCACCTTTCCTCCCTGAACCACTCTGCCCACTCCAGTATCAGGTCCACCCCCTGTGCCAACACGCACCCTCGAAGACGTGGTTGAGTCAGTTCCTGTTCCTAGGGCCCAGCTCTATTCTCAGAAGGGTGAGCTGGTTTTTTCCTGCCACTGGAAAATACACTTCTTTAGTTTCCATTCTTTTGGTTTCTTTTTCTTTCCATTGACATGGACGTCTGGACTCCACAAAGGGCAAAATCAAGGTGGGACACCTCTTCTTCCTGGGTTGTTTCCAACCCCAGTGGGATTAAAATGTTGGCTGCTTCACAAAGAGGCCCATTCATGAGATTATTTTGTCTCCCAGGGTGACCTTTCAGGCCTAAAGGCCTCCGAGTCACGGACAATGCAACCCAAACTGGCCTTTCTCAGCAAGGTTCTCCACCAGCACTGCAGGCTCCAGTTGGGGTGGGGGTCTGGGGACCCCACGGCCCCTCTGTCCCTGTCCTCTGCAGTGGAGCAACATCTTCCCACGGAGCAGGACAGGGACAGCACCAGGGAGAGTCTCCTCTGAGGAGGGCTGGCCAACCTCTTTTGACCAAACCCCACGCTCTTAAGTGACGAAAAAGTCCAATAACTCCTTGTCAACACCTCGAGATGGATTTGACCTGGGATCTTTCAGAAAACACGCCGAAAAACCTTCAAATGTGTCCCAGCAGTTTCATCCTGAAGTGTTTTGGATTTGCCACTTGAAACAGCAGCTTTTTTCTCTCTCTCCACTCCTCCTCAAACATGTTTTGCTTCACCTTGAATGCTGGGAAAACTGGAAATGAAGATGAATTTTTTTTTTGGCCTTGATTTCACTGAAACATCCCTTTTCAATCTCCTCCTCCCTAAACTAATCCTGTACACAGGAGAGCTGTGGGTGGGGTGAAATAAGGACTGAACTTCAATGAAGTCATCTCCCTGTCTTGCACCTCGCTCAGGGAAGTGAGAAATGGTTCCCCTGCATGTCCTCCCCATGCCACGATGCTGCAGCCAAATCCTTCTGCGAGGAAGAAGCAAGCACCACGGAGAGAAGGAGGAAACCAGCCCCCAGGCGAGGCACCTGGTGAAGCATCCAGCTTTTTAAACCACTCCCCACTTGTGCCACCCCAAAACGCATCACGACGGGCAGCCCAGGGCAGCAGCACCTTTGGCATGTCCAAGCCAGGGCTGTTTTCCCACAGCTTCGTGACCTCTCCAGATGGACACTTCTCACCACGCTCCCTCAGATTTCAGTGTTTATGGGGTTTGATTTCTGGAGTTATGGCAAGCCCTGGTGTTTATGAGCTCATCAGCAAGGGAGCTGGCGCCACGGGGAGATGGGAAGGGTTATCTTCTCTTTCCCCACCCTGGGAAGTGATGGAATTTGATTCCCTCAGAAGATCCTCCAGGCCTGGCCAGGACCCCTGTGACCCTTTGACCCGTGAGGAGCTTCCCAGGCAGTGCCACAGATGATGAGAGCACCCTGACGTGTGAATCTTTATTGAAAACATTTTTATTGCTTTCTAAAAACCTCTTTTAATCGACTCCAAGGAGATACAGTAAATAGACCAGCAGAATTATTTAACCAGCTCAGTTATCTGGTGTTTTCTTCAGAACAAGCTGAGGAGACCTGGGCTCACCATAGAGGTTTGAGCTCCTCTGAGTGCACAGCGTTTCTGCTGAAGTTCCAGCACAACTCCAGCTGAAGTCAATGCTTCAGGTCACTGGTTTCAGCTGGAGCTTGATCAGCACCTTGAACCTGAGTCAGGTAAGAATAAGAGCAACAGTTTTCATGAGGACAATGCCTCCGTGTTGGTTTGAAGCATCTTTTCACCTCCTCTGCTGCTTGGAGGTAACTCTGAGCTCTGGAGGGAACGTAGCACGAGCTGGGTGTGGTTGTGCTGCAAGGGAGAAGAGCAGCTCCCAGCACCCTCACAGGCAGGGCAGATGAGTCTCCTGAAATTTGGACTCTGCATGAGATCGTGGGAAGGGAGGGTCTTCCCCAGTGCTCCAGCACGTCCAAGGAGATCTTACTGGAGCCATCAGAATGGAACTCCACCCTCCCAGTGACCCAAATACAGAACATGACATTGCAGGCAATGGTGTCTCAGTGTTGGGTTCTGTGACCTCCATTTGGACAAGACATATCAGGAGATGGCCCCAGCTCATAGAATCATGGGATGGTTTGGGTGGGAAGGGACCTTTAAGGGTCATTTCATCCAACCCCCCTGCAGGGAGCAGGGACATCTGCAGCTAGAGCAGGGTGCTCAGAGCTCCATCCAACCTCCCCTGGGATGGTTCCAGGGATGGGGCAGCGACCACCTCTCTGGGCAGCCTGGGACAGGGGCTCAACACCCTCAGGGTCAAAAATTCCTTCCTTAGATCCAGCCTAAATCTCCCTCTTTTAGTTTCAAACCATCCCCCCTTGTCCTGTCCCAACAAGCCCTGCTCAAAAGTCCATCCCCAGCTTTCTGAAAGGCTGCAAGAAGGTCTCCCCAGAGTCTTCTCCTCTCCAGGCTGAAGCTCCCAAGGCCATGCTTGGCCTCCCCCAGTGTAGAGAGCCCACCCTAGTCACCAGCACAGCACCTGGACACACCCTCCCCTCCCACCTGAACTTCCAGGTGGTGTTCTCCCCCAACATCTAACTGTGAAACACTGCAGGTTACTCCACGCCCCAAAGCAGAGCCATCAAGCCCCAGTGAGAGGAAGGAAGCCCTGGGGCCAGCCTGTCACCCCCACAGCACGTTCTTTGGTCATGTCTGATCTTCAGTGAAAACTGGAAGTCTCCATGAGTGAAATTTGGCGACCGTTAAGTCAGCTCCACGTTGGGATATTTTAGCAGTACCCATAGAAAGATGAAGAAGTCACCCCTGAGGGTGGGAAACCTCTCCCATGGACCTCTAGGACCCTCTGTGGACCTCTAGGTCCTTTCCCAGCAATCGATGTCCTCGGGAGCAGGCCAGTGCTGGAGCTGCTGGGGGTCAGAGGCGAGTGTGGCTCTCGGAGCCCTCCTCGGGGCAGGGCTGCTGGGGGGCAGCCCTGCCCACCCCGTTGTGTGCAGCGTGGCTGTGACCCAGATGTTCCTCCTGGCCCTTCCTGCTGCCAGGGCCACTGCTGGGGACCGACCTGTGTCTCTTCTGCACCTGCTCCAGTATCTGCAGCACCTGGCACGAGCAAACACGGCCGGGAGTGGGTTACTCGTTGGGGATGTGATGATTTAAAGGGCTCTTCTAACCAGAACAAATGAATATTTCTGTGATTTCTGCCTGCTCAGAGCTCTCTGGGGGGGTGTAAAAGGAGCTTGCCCCACGCAGGGCCATCCCCTTGGATCTCAGAGCTCTTTCTGCAGCTGAAGCAGTCTCACCTCACACGTGCCTAGCACAGAGAGGTGCCAGGGTGGTGTGGAGGCAGGACAAGGACACAGGCAACATGGAGCTCTCTGGTTTGGCTCTTTCCCACCACCCCGTGATAACTCCTCAGGCTAGCACAGATTTCTTCACCTCCTTCCAGCAGGAGGAAACCCCCAGCCTGGAACCCAGGGAACAGAGGTGGGGGAAAGGAGCAGAAATAAAACCAGGATCAGTTTTACCTGGGACTTGGGGACGATGCCGACCCTGAAGAACCCAATGTTTCCACTGTCAATCCTGGTGCAGTCCACAACGGTGGAGGCAATGTTCTCTGGAGATGGCCCATCACAAAGGACTGCATCCACCTGAGGAGGTGGGTACACCCAAGGGAGGACTCTCAGGATTCAGCAGTGAAATGAGAGGTGGCCATTGGAACGACCGTGACCATTGTACTTCCAGAAATTAGGAAAGTTCTCAAAGCCAGGAGTATTTCAGAGCTTTGGCAGCAGTCTTAGACCAAGTTCAGCTTCAGAGGGGAATCCCCTGTGTTGTGCCAGCTCAATCCCAGCTGGAGCACTGCAGCATTCAGGCACCAGGGGGTTTATTGCTCATAAGCAAAGCACCATGGTTTTGTTGCTGGTATCATCTGGTGCTGGAAGATGAACCAACTCCTACTGCCCAGCCACAACTACACCACATAAATCAGAAGAGTTTTGTTTTCCCACCAAAGGTTCTGTCTTTCACATTGTTCTTTCACTGACACCAACACGAGGAACATCCATGAGATGGTTTTTTTTAATGAGATGCTTTCCCAGATCCTTGATACCATCTATTAATTTGCCTACTGGAAACAAAGTGGTTGGATTCTTCCATCCCCACGTGTTTTTTGGGACCAGACAGAATGAAAAGACAGAGCCCCAGTTACCTTATCTCCCAGCTTGGCATAGACTTGGTTGTGGTGAGTTGTGTCTGCTTCTCCTGTTGGGTTGGCTGACGTGACCACGATGGGGCCAACCTGGGGACAGCAAGATGGGAACAAAAGCCCTGAGCAGGTTTTGCTGTATAAACCAGATGATTTGGACTCTTAAATTTCACTTGTGGCTCTGAAGAGAACTCAGTGGGACTCACCCAAGTAGTGACACCTACTCTGTAGGCATCTACAGTCCCACCAGAGTGGTGCAGGAGTGACCCACCCCCTGCTGAAGTGGGGTTTAGTGACACTGAGCAGGAAAACCTTCTGTTTTCCAGACATAACCACTGCCAAAGACCCACCACGTCTGTCCTAGAAGTGAGCAGAACGTGGAGGGTGTCACAGTTCCACACCCTGGACCTTCTGAAGTTATTTTGGCTTCATATAAGCTTCCAACAGAAGGGTTCTGTGTAGGAAATCAGACAGATTTTGGCTTTCTGACCCAGTGGTCATTCCTGTTTCCTGCAGCAGAATCAGCTCCCAGCTGCCTGCACACCCCACCCCTTCTTAGTGATATTTTTTCTTGTGGGAGTCACCCCTTTTTAGCACTTTTCACTCCCCAAACCTGTCTGAACACAGCAGGGTCCTCACTTCAGTGGGAAAAGAAAGACGAGGGGAGAGGTGACGTGCCAGGAGGGCTGGCAGAGCACCCCAGCCTCTCCCCTGGGCAAGGCAGAGGACGTGGGGACACCGAGGCAAGGCCTGGCCACCAGTGCTGCTGGGACACTGTCCCAGTGCTCCCAGTGTGCCCAGTGTGCCCAGCAGTGCTCTGGCCACTCACCAGGTCGATGAGGTGCGTGGTGACGGAGCAGTCGGGGACACGGACGGCGATGCTCTGAGGGGTACCCACATATTTGGCAGAGTCCTTCATCCCCAGGAAGTCCACCCATTCACCTGCAGGAGGAAGAGTCAGGTGGCACTGAGGGAGGTAGACCAGCCTGAAGGCAATGATCTTACCAGAAATATCACCGTGGAGCACGTGGCTTTGCAGGGATGAGAGACTCAAAGCTGGAGTGCCAGAGCCAAAGGTCTCCAGAGAGCGTGGAGCTCAGGGCAGTTCCTCACCTCGGGGAACCACCAAGCTGATAGGAGATGGCCAGGCAGCCTCCATGAAGTCCCAGAGGAGGGGTGTGAACAAATGCTTTGCAGGTTCCAGTTGCTTCAGGCTAGAAATCCAGAGTGACATGGGGCGATCCTGAGCCTGGCGCTTGGAGCTGGAAAGGAGGCAAGGAAAAATGAGCCTGGAAGGAAGAGGGGGATTTATGTTCAAGCTGGAAAGGGAATTGTGTTGGCGAGGCCCAGAGTGAACACAAGGTGTGTAGGCTCTGCCCAGGTCACCAGTCTGTGGTAAAAACAGGACTGCTCAGCAGAGGAGCTGAGAGGAAGGGTCATTAATGACTGTTCCCACTCAGGAACGTCCACTCCACATCAAGGGTTTAGTGTCTTCTGCAGTGATGGGTACAAGTCCCAGCTGCCCAAGTTCTGAGGAATCCCCACCACTTGAGGGGCCCCGGGTGCTTACCAAGGCACAGCCAGGGGCTGCTGTTAAACACGAGAGAGGTTTGGCTTGGGAAAATCTACCTACAGTATGTCCAAGATAAGCCCCTGCCCCATCTGCCACTTCTGTGGGTTTCCTTGTGACACCCAAGCTACCTGCCTCCACCACCAGCCAGGAGCCTTCAACATCCAAGGAGACAATTCCAGCCCCACTGCCTCCTTCCCTCCTCCAGATCTCCTTCTCCCCCAGGCTCAGCACCTTGTTGTTCCCAGGAGGGCTAAGCCATGTGCCTCACTGCTCTCGTTGGCCGCTGTAGCCGGCACTTGGTAGCAGATACAAGCCCTGGAGGCTTCTTCAGACCAACCCAGGGAGCCCCAACAAGACAAACACTTACTGGTGAGCTTTCTCCACGGCATCAGGCCGGTTACAGGCTGCCACGAGCACATACACAGTGTCTGTGGGGATGCCACAAGTGCCTCCGTTCTTCAGGATATCTGTTGGCATGGGAACAGGGCACAACCCCTTGAGTGAGGGGCTGAAATTCACTGCAGAGCTGTCACAGACAACAGGCAGCTTGGTGCTCTCCTCTCCTTTTCCCAGCTAACAAAGACCCTCCTCTGAAAGTGCATTTTCTAGCATTCCTCCAGGAGATCTGGCATTTAGGGGAGTTTTGGGCCACGTTCATCGGGGCCAGGAGTCACTGAGCCCCGTGGAGATGAAACCCTGTGTTTGCTCTGCTCTCTCTGTACAAAGGTTTCAGTGGTAGCCCCAGCCTGGAGGATTCGTGTGTCTCAGGCTGGGTGAGCAGACAGGCCCATGAAGTGGGAGAAAAAGCATCAAATTCCCTGCTAAACCCCAGCTCCTCTCAAGGAACTTGTCCTGTTTCCCCCATAGCACATTTAGCTCCTGCTGACTCCTGTAACTCGTCCTGCTTGGTCAAAATGCCCTCAGATTATCCCAGTTTCCACATCTGGATGGGAACAATGTCCTTTTAATAGGACAAATGCTACAAAACCTCCCAGAATTCACCCTCCAACCCCCCCACGATGCCCTTACCTGCAATTCTCTTGACTGAGGAAGCTTTCCTGGCAGGCAGGTGAAGGCACTTGGTCGTTCCTCCCCCGACACCACTAAGCTGCACAATGGGCCTACCCATCGGGAAGCAGGAACCCTCAAAGGTGCTGTTAAAAAGGGCAGAGAGGAAGCAGTAAAAGCTGACCAGGCCAAAGAGGAGAGTGGCAGCAACGTCGTAGCCAGCTGGGAGAGCTTGAAGAGCATCCAACAAGAAGCTGACAGCGATGAGGAAGAACGTGAGGGAGTAAAGGAACCAGGCGAGGTTCAAGAAGAGCGTGCAGAAGACAATGAAGCCGTTGAAAAGCATGAAGGCCACGATGCCTACAGCTGAGTGGAAGCTTCTGGGGGTGCTGTAGAGGCCACCATACCTTGTCAAGCCCCAGATGCTCCACATGACAGCGTAGAGGATGAAAGCACTGCTCTCCAGGGTTTTCCCCCGGGCAAAAGCCACCGAGCCACCCAGAAGCGTGAGGATCCCTCCAGCTACCACCACCCATGGGATTACAACGGCAGCCCGTGGGGCCACAGGGGCCTGTGTTTACAACCGCCAGCCAGTGGAGCCTGAGGGTCCCCTGTCACTGTCAGAGCAAAGGAAGCGAGGACGCTGCAGGCATAGCCAAGCACCTCTGCATCTGCATACTTGGAGTAGCCGAGGTAGGGGGCGTGGAGGTCTGCCCCTTCCCGCAGCTTCAGGAGCCTGCTGCGAGCCAGCAGGGCCCTCACAGCCCCCTGCCCCGTGGGGATCCTGGCACCTGCCTCCTCCTTGTACAGGTGAAGGAGAGTCATCGAGGCTGAGGCCACAAAAACGGCCACGTCCACGCCTTGGGGGCCAGCTTGGAAAAACCCTTTGGGATGGCAAGCCAGCACCAGGCAGTAGGCCACGTAAAGCAGCAAATAGAGGCCATCCACCGGGCTCTTGAGGGCGAGGAAAAGAGCCAAGATGGCAAAAAGAATGGAGAAAACCACCAGGAACGGGGCAGGGAAAGACGGTTCCTCTGGTTGCCAGATGGGGTAGAGGAGGCAATAGCCTCCAGCAAGCTTCAGGATGGAGGTGAAGCCAAAGAAGGTGGCCATGAGCACATCCAGCTCCCGGTAGGAGGAGACACAGATGCCCAGCTGGCAGAGCCCAGCAGCCCACAGCCAGGGCACCTGGCCGATGGAGAGCTTGCCAGTGGCACCCAGCAGCCTGCAGCCAAAGACACTGGCAGAGAGCATGTTGAGGATCAGGCCGGTGGCTGCAAAAGGATTCCTGGTGCCACTGGGCGACCGCATCTGCCCACGGGTCTTGGTTTTGGCCAGGTCTGTGCCAGGGAGGACAATTTTCTCTTTGGTTAGGAAACAGAGAATCCTTCCCAGAGCAAAATAACCGCAGGCCGCGCAGACCACCGCGTAACTGCAAGCCACAGCAGAGGAACCCAAAGCTGGGCTGTAACGCAGGGCAGCTTCGTGAGCACTGGCCAGAGAGACAGCACCAGCCACCAGGGCCAGGATGACCTCTCCACGGAGGAAGCCCACCACTGCCACAAGGAGCAGTGCTACAGCAAACGTGACCAGGCCGGGCACCAAGGCATCGCGGAGATCCGTGGGGTCCTGCAGAACTCCTTGCCCTCCCAGGATGCAGATGACTCCGTAGCCACCCCAGAACACCGAGGTGCTCAGGCAGAGAGTCAGGAAGAGGGAGGCATCTCTTGGGCTTCTCCGAATTCCTGTGAAACGAACAACAAAGGAGACAGGGTGGTGATCTGGAGGCAGCAGGTTAGGCCAGGCAGCTCTGCGGTGTGTTGGGGGTGTCACCACCAGGCTGGCACGGGGCTGCACGGGTCCTGCGTGGTGCTAGGCAGAGCTGTGCTGAGTTTGGGCAGGCCTGCACCATGCCCTGTTACCCTGTGTGGACGTGGCTGTGAAGGCTCCATCAGAATGCCTGAGGTGAGCTCAGAGGACTGGAGCTCCTTCAGCCTGGCGTGCTGTTTGCCCTCATGAATTCGAGGCTCAGCAAGCCACTCTCTCCCCTTCCTCATGATGCCTACAAGACCATAACATATTCATGCAAATCAGGCCCTGATGCCAATATCTTTTGGGCATTTGTTCAAAACTAACACTGATTTCTTTGGTTGCCTATAGAGGAAAATTGTGCCCTGCTGACACACTCCTCCAGGAGAGCGAGGCAAAGCTGCCATGGTTTGCAGAAACCTGCTGGCAAAGCAGACCAAGTAGAGGCAGAGCTGTAAAAGGGGGAGGCCCCAAAGCTGGCCACCCTCCAAACCTTACCTGCATACGCCAAAAGAGAGGATAAAATCAGCAGGAGGACTCCTAGAGCTGTGCTGGGGATCAGAGGAGCTGCCCTGGCCACGCCGTAGAAATGCACTGCCAGTAAAAGTGATCCTGTGTGTGTGACAAGGGAGGAGGAAAAGAAGAAAGAGCTTGTAAACTTTGCCCAAAAAACCCAGGAGAGAAACCCACGTGGCAAGAGCAGGGGATGGAGAAAAAATAACAGGGCAGGATCTGTAAATCTAAGGAGCTGGGGGAGGGTGTTGTAACTTGGGCTGTGTCCCAGGTCAACTCTTGATGAGTTTTAAACGCCTGGTTTTAAGAAGCTTGACCGTAGTCATGTTTGGAAGTGCTCCCCTGTTGTCAGAGGAAGGTAAAAATCAGCACCCCAACTGTGCTCCACAGAGGCTCAGGAGAGCCTTGAGCCTGCAGCAAACCAGCCTCAGACTGGGACGGGGAAGAGGAGATGCAAAAAAAGGAGCAAACCAAAGGGAGTGAGCACAGAAAACAGGCTAGAAAACAAAGAGAGGGAAACAGCTAGAGAAGGAAAAGAGAGGGAAGCGTAGCCAACTAAAGATCCTTTATGAAAACGACTCCCCAAAAGTTTGGCTTTGCTTCCCCCCCCAGCATGGATGGAGTCCAAAAGCTCAGGCCAGCACTTCCAAGCCAAGAGAAAGAATTTGCTGGCTGCTGACAGAGGCGCCGGGGTCCCTGCATCCCAACGCCCTCCCCGGGCAGGGAAGGCTGCCCAGGAGCAGGCTCCGTGCCCCCCTTTTGAAGCAGAGGGCTGGCCACCAGAGCCGACCCCGAGCCCACGCCCCACCGAGCTGACCCCTACCTGTGGAGATGCCCAGGAGCCCTGCGGAGGGATGGAGAGCCCCGGGTGCCATGGCTGAGCCTGTCCCGGGCTGCAGTGCTGCCTCTCCTTCCTCCCTAGCTCTTTATAAGCGCCGGCGTTCCTCCCCTCTCCACCCCTTTCCCTGCAGGCAGCTCCTCTCCCCGGGAGCCTTTCTTTCCTCTCCCCGAGAAATCTCAGGCTGTGAGTCAGCGTGGGCTGCTGGGAGCACCCCCCAGCCCCCCAATTTTCCTGCCCATTAACCCTTCTTCAAAAAGGAAGCTTGCAAATAAAGGGGCGGGGTTGTCGCTGGGGCTGCACCCAGGGGGAAACCACGCTGCTTAAAAGGAAGGGGTTTTAAAGAATGCATCTTGCTGGAGCAAACAAGGACTTTGCAAGCCCAGGAGCTCCTTGGGGACCAGTTGTTTCTCCTAACACTGGCCATGGTCCTGCTGTTTGTCCCTGTCACAGCTATGAATGCCTGGCACCCCTTGTCCTGTGCTGGGCAAACCCAGGGCAGGTTCAGCACCGTTCCCCTAAGGTGAGTTCTCCACATCTCCCTAATCCAGGCTCTCCACACAAGCTCACAGGGAACTCCTCCAAAGTGGCTTTCACGGGTGAGCTGTCAGTGCAAACACACAGCCTGGAGACCATCAGTGTGAGAACCAGCCCAGAGGAGCCTCGCTGGCTTCCCAGGAGAGCTGTGCAGGCAGAGAGACATCTCACCTGCTGGGTGGTTTGGGGTCCCTCACTCCCAGAAGGACCTTGAGGGGCTGGAGTGTGGCCAGGGAAGGGCAACGGAGCTGCTGGGGAAGGGTCTAGAGCCCAAGTGTGGGGAGGAGCAGCTGAGGGAGCTGGGGGTGCTGAGCCTGGAGCAAAGGAGGCTCAGGGGAGACCTTCTGGCTCTGCACAGCTCCTGACAGGAGCCTGGAGCCAGGGGGGGGTCGGGCTCTGCTCCCAAGGGACAAGGGACAGGACAAGAGGGAACAGCCTCAAGTTGCCCCAGGGGAGGTTTCAGTTGCCCCTGAGGAACAATTTCTTGCCCTGGAGGGTTGCCCAGGGCGGTGCCAGGCTGCCCAGGGCAGTGGTGGAGTCCCCACCCCTGGAGGGGCTTCCAAGCCGTGGAGATGTGGGGTGAGGGACACGGGGCAGTGGGGACCTGGCAGGGCTGGGGGATGGTTGGACTCCAGGAACTTAAAAGCCTTTTCCAAGCAAAACAATTCTCTGACTATATTCTGTGAGGACCAAGTCACTGCCACGGTCCCTGCTAGATGTGGGGTGAGGGACACGGGGCAGTGGGGACCTGGCAGGGCTGGGGGATGTTGGACTCCAGGATCTTAAAAGCCTTTTCCAAGCAAAATGATTCTCTGTATTCTGTGAGGATCAAGGCACTGCCACAGTCCCTGCTGGATCCCAAAGGTGACATGAAGGAGCTATTCACAGCTCTCTGCTGCTTCCCATGGGGAACATGGGATCAGGGCATAAAGGTCTCTACCAGTGGAGAGGCTGCAGGAAGCAGTGGATCATAGTGGCCCTGGGATCATATTGGGTGACATGCCAAGCAGGAATTAGGCAGAGAACTGCTCTGGGAGAGCTTGGATGGAACAGGGGCAACACTTGCCTGCACTTCTGCACATCCCTGCATCCCTTGGTTTGTGTGCCAGTGTAAGGCCTGTTCCTGCCAAGGCCCCAGCTCCTCTTCCCATCAGTTAGAACTCCACTCTCAGCTTCTTCATGAGATAGAAGATGCAGAACAGTGTAAAGAGCTTCACAAGAACATTGCTGGGCTGGTCAAAGATGACTTCCCAGAGGTCCCACAGCAGCAAGCTGTGATGTCTCCCAAACTTCCTTGGATTCTTCAAGGCTTTGGAGGACAGTTACCTTTAACTGTGCTCACCCTTCAAGAGCAGCTCTGAGGCAACAGGGCTCCTTCACCCTCATCTTCTCTGCAACACCCCTGAAGATTAAAGCAAGGTGTTTACTGCTCAGGGCCAATGTCTCTACCCTGAGAAATGTATGGTATGGAATAACTCAGCTGAGCAGGATTTTGCCAGGAATCTTTAGGTTCTGTACATCTACTGAGATAGATCTTTAGGTTCAGCATGTCTATTGATACAGATCTCATCCCATGAGGGAGGAAACAAGTGCTGGTAGAAGCCTGGTCTGTCCAGTGACACCTAACCAGTGATCCCAGTCAAGAGGAACCAGCTCAGCCAGTCTGCAGCAGGCAGAGCCACATGCTGTGGTTTGCAGTGAGCAGTAAGTTTTCAAATCATCACCCTCTGGCTATCTTTGCCCCACCACTAACAGGACTCCTCTCTCTGACCAGTTAAGGAGGGAGAAATTTCCTGCTCCAGCTGCAGTGTGATTCAGCTGGTTTTGCCTGCAAGAGGAAATAACACGTCTCTAAAACCCCGTTAGAACACCTCAGACACCCAACCAAGCAGCAGGGACAAGGCTCGGGGTGTTTTCCACACAAACCTCACAGGTCCATCCCTGTCTGGGTAATACAAGTGACTGGAAGGAAGGAATAGTCCTTCCTGACGTGCTCTTTGCTCCAGCCACACGAGCCACGGGTGGCAGGAAGATAAATAAAGCCCCATGAGCCCCTTCCTCATGCCTGCTATGACCAAAGAACTTGTCAGCCCCCTGTTTCATCACACCCAGGAGCTCCTTCCTGCCTCTTCCAAACATGATAGAGACTCATGGAAAACTTCTTATCAATAACCCCTGAAAAACATCCTCCAGCCACGCTGCATGAAGCTTTTTGTTGTCTGAAGGATGGCAAGAGAGCCTCCACAGGCCACAGCCACTTCAGCAGTGCACTGTGGAAACAGAGGGGTGCAGAGGTCCATCCTCTCCTCGGGTGTGAGCACAGAATCATCCCATCACTAAGGCTGGAAAAGACCTCTCAGATCATTAAGAAGTCCACCCAACCCAGCACTACCATGACCAATGAACTGTGACCCCAAGTGCCATCTCTATATGTTTTTTGAAACCTTCTTGGCATGGGGACTCCAGCACCTCCCTGGGCAGCCTGGGGCAACGTCTCACCACTCTGCCAGGAGAGAAATTCTGCCTAAAATCCAATAAAAAACTCCCCTGGGGCAACTTCAGCCCATTTTCTCTTGTCAAGTCAATGGTTACATGGGAGAAGAAACAACCCCCAACTCACTCCAGCCTCCTGTCAGGGAGCTGTAGAGAGCAGTAGGGTCTCCCCTGAGCCTCCTTTTCTCCAGGCTCAACAACCCCAATTCTCTCAGCCCCCTCCTAGCAAGGACAGGAAGAACAGGTCTCTCCAGGAGCAGAGGAGCTGCCCCATGACATGCTGCAAATCCTGCTGCCCTGTGCCCCTGCAGGGCTCTGCCAGTGCCTGGCACTGCCTCCTTCCCTGGCAAAGGGAGAGATGGGGCTGTTGATGAAGGATCATAGAATCATAGAATCCTTTAGGTTGGAAGGGACCTCCAAGATCATCCAGTCCAACCATTGAGCCATTAGGGCTCTAAAGTCCTCTGCTAAAACAGATCAGAATCTGTCAGGGCTGGAAGGGACCCCAAGGATCCCCCAGTTCCAACCCCTCTGCCATGAGCAGGGACACCTCCCACTAGATCAGGCTGCCCAGAGCCTCCTCCCGCCTGGCCTTAAAGACCCCCAGGGATGGGACCTCAACCCCCTCCCTGGGCAACCCATTCCAGGGTCTCACCACGCTCATGGTGATTAATTTCTAACCTCAGGGCCCAAAGGCCAGGAAACAGCTACAAGAAGTGCAAAATCTCTGCTCCTGAGAGATGGGATAGGAGTGGAAGGTCAGAAAAGGAAACTTTGCTGTTAAAAGACTGAGGCTGCCTATGCAACATGGGGTAAAAAAACGAGCAGAGAGAGGAATGCACTGGCTCAAATGCTTGCCCCGGGCAGGCTCTCCTCTAATGCCATCTTCTGTGCAAAGATTTTGGTCCTTCAGTCTGAAGCAGAATGGAAAATGGGACAGCTGAGGGGGAAAAACACAGCCCAGCAGCTCACGTCAGCCAGGGACGCCTCGGAGGCAACGTGCTGGGAGGGAGATCTGCAAAGGAGCAGCCAGTTGGGGAAACAAATAATATTGACATGCCCTGCCCGTGGCACTGGAAAGAAAACCTCCTTGCCAGGAAGAAATCCAGCCCAACCCTCCTGGCCCCACCTGCTCCTGGGGGGGAGGGACTGGGCTATAAAAGGCTGTGGGTGGTGAACAGAGAGGAGCAGCGGTTTGGGGCTCTCCAGGGGGATCCTGCTCTGCTTTGGGACCATGGGGAAGAGAGTGGCCGTGGTGCTGGCTGGCTGTGGGGTGTATGATGGGAGTGAGATCCACGAGGCCTCCGCCGTGCTGGTGCACCTCAGCAGGGAGGGGGCACAGGTAAGAGGCTCCTGCCCCCCTCTGGGGCTCCTTCTGCCCTGCTCTGCTCTTCCATCCCTCCCTCCTGCAGAAGGTTCTTGTCTCTGAGGAGCTTTGCAGCCTGCTGGAGGCAGCCCAAGCTCCCCATGGCTGCCAGGGGGGGCTGCAAGGCGTTGGGGGGAGAGGAGTGAAAGCTGAGGCTCGGTGGAGGAGCTGCAGAGAGCTCCCTGCTTTGCCCTCACAGCTCTGCTGCACAAGAGAAGGGGCTTGGAGCTCTGGCTGAACCTTTCCTCAGGGCAGCCTCTCTTCTTTTTGGCTTGTGCTTCCTCTTTGCTGCTCTGGTGTTTCTGGTTAAAGGTCTGCTGTTGGTTTGGGCTGTTTGAAGTTCATCTTTTTAACCCCCCGAGGGTTAGAACTGGAAATAGCCACGTCCTTGTAAGCTGAACTTGAGCAGGGGTAACAAAAGTGCCCCTCAAGCAGCCACTAGTCACAAGGGCCAGGCTGTGAGACTGGAAGGGGAGGGAGAAAAGCCCTAGGTGCTGTTCTGCCAGCCCAAGAGCCTGCAAAGGGCACTCTCTGTCTGCCTCAAAGCTCACACTCGGCCAAACCTCTTCTCCTCTGTCGTTTTGCCTCTCCTGGAGCTGCTGCAGTCGCTCCCCTGCTGCCATCCCCTGAGGGGCAGGCTGGGAGCAGGGGTCCAGCTCATCCCTTGGTCAGCAGGGACCTCTTGTGGAGGGAACCCCGGCCTTATTTCACTCTCCTCTTGGTTTTCAGTCCTGCTTGCCTAGGGAAACAATGAAACGCTGAGTAGAGTGCAGCTTAGACTATTTCAACTGGAAAGGCCCCACAACGATCATCTGCTCCAACTGCCTGAGCCCTCCAGGGCTGCCCAGAACTTAATATCTGCTGTTTAAGGGCATTGCCCAAATGGCTTTTAAATTCTGACAGGCCTGGGCATCCACCACCTCCCTAGGAAGCCTGCTCCAGGGTTAGACCACTCTCTCCCTACAGAAACACCTCCTAATGCCCAGCCTGAACCTCCCCTGGTGCAGCTCTGAGCTGTTCCCACACCTCCTGTCCCTGGCTCCCAGGGGGAAGAGCTCAGCACCTCCTGCCCCACCTCCCCTCCTCGGGAAGCTGCAGAGGGCAATGAGGTTGCCCCTCAGTCTCCTCCAAAGCAGGAGAGCCCTGAGTCCTCAGCTGCTCCTCAAGGGACGTTCCTTCCAGCCCTTCCACCGGCTTTGGTGCCCTCCTCTGGTCACCTTCCAGCACCCTGCTTAAACTGTGGGGCCCAGAACAGCCCCAAAATCTACCCTCCCTCTGGCTGCCACCCTCCACGCTTCTGCTGGGGCTGCCCCCCTGATGGTGATCATGGAACCTCCCAGAAGGCTCCACCAACAGCTCTCGGGACACCTCATCTCCCCAGGAGGGAAAGTCACCACTCCCTCCCTGGTTCAGCCCCCAGCCCACGCCTCAGACCCCCACCACCCTCATCCCTTTAAGGTCAGGGTCAATGCTCCTGTGCAGAAGCTCCAGAAGACCTTTTTTTCCCCATCTCCTCCCTATGACAACAACTTTCCTGGTGCCACCATCAGATCCAGATGAGGATCACTACAGGTCACTGCGTTTTCATTCACTCCCTGTGATCTTCACCATGCCCCGTTGACTGAAGGCCAATAGACCTTTCCCCTCCCTCTCCAGGCAGAGGTTTATGCTCCTGATGTTGACCAGATGCACGTGGTGGACCATGTGAAAGGACAGCCCACCCAGGAGAGACGCAACGTGCTGGCTGAAAGTGCCAGGATAGCCAGAGGCAACATCAGGGACCTGGCCCAGCTGGATGCCACGGGGCTGGATGCCCTCATCATACCAGGTAGGATGGCATGTGGGGGCACAGAGAAGCAGAACCCACCATGGTGGGGCTGGAAGGGACCTCTGGAGATCATCTCCTCCAACCCCCCTGCTCCAGCAGCTCACCCATAGGGTCACAGCCAGGAGGGTTTGGGATCTCTCCAGAGCAGGAGACTCCACAGCCTCTCTGGGCAGCTGCTCCAGGCTCTGCACCCTCCCAGCAGAGAAGTTTCTCCTCCTGCTCAGGTGGCACCTCCTGGGTTCCAGTTGGTGCCCGTTGCCCCTTGTCCTGTCCCTGGGCACCACTGAGCAGAGTCTGGCCCCAGCCTCTTGCCCCCCGGGGCCCTTTAGCTCTTGCTCAGCACTGCTCAGATCCCCTCTGAGGCCTCTCGTGGTCTCCATGCCCAAAGCCTTGGGAGTAGCCTGGATATGCCATAAGCCTTGAGTGACATGGGAGTCACGGGCTGGAGAGGAGCTGGGCAGAGCCACTGAGGAAGAGGAGGGGCTGGAAGGACAGACACTGTTCCCTCTGTGCTGGGACTGGCACACTCAAACCCCTATTGAAAGAGCCCATGGCAACAGAGCAGCTCACCCTGAGAGGGCAACGTGCCACCTCCTCACCAGGAGAAGAGGCTGGGACAGACAGGGGCTGACTCCACACCACCAGTTGTGCTCAGCCTGGTAGTTCAGCTCTAGTTAAAGCAAAACCACGTGAGCTCAGGCTCTGGAAGCCAGAAAGGTGCTTCAAAGTCTCCTGGCAGTCAGCTCACAGACTCAGCTTCTCTGGTCCTGCTTCTTTTCTCAGAGAATCACAGACTAGCTTAGGTTGGAAGAGATTCTGGAGATTTTTTATCAGTGTCAGACAAATGCTGTCACCCCCCAAATCCATTTTGGCATTCTGCTAATTAATACCTGAGAAAATCCTGCCCTGGAGTGTCTGGTCCAATCTCTCTCTCTTTTCTCAGGTGGCTTTGGAGTGGCTAAAAACCTGAGCACTTGGGCTACTCAGGGCAAGAACTGCACCATCTCCAGAGAGGTGGAGGATGTCCTGAGGGCATTCCATGCTGCCCAGAAGCCCATTGGGCTCTGCTGCATCTCCCCAGTGCTGGCAGCCAAGGTCTTCCCAGGCTGTGAGCTGACTGTGGGCCACGACACCGAGTGTGAGAAGTAGGTGACCTGGGGGTGACCAGGGCAGGGACCTGGGGGTGACCAGGGCAGGGACCTGGGGGTGACCAGGGCAGGGACCTGGGGGTGAGGGCATTTCACCACACAGGGCCACCAGAGAAGGCAAGAACTGGATCAGATGCTGAGCTGGGATGATGTTAAGGGAGGAATCTGTCCTTTTGTTGAGAGGACAACACCAGAGGGATCAGTAATGGCCCGTGTAAGAAGCTGGTGACAAACCCACTCAGTTTAAACACAAAGTCTGGAGTGGGCAGAGTTTTAACATCTGTAGTGGAAAAAAAAGGGCTTAATTTGGCTTTGTTTTTTTGACTCACTGTAATCTGGAGGTTTTCCTGGTCCTATAGTCCCAGAGAAACTCCTCAGATGGGAAAACACCTGGATGCTATAGAGCAGGATTTCTGTGGGGACCACCCATCCCTGCAATCAGTGGAGTTTTAACTCCAGGCCTTTGCCAAACTGCTCTGTGTGATGACAGCTTCCCCAGGCAGAGCTTCTTCTCTTCCTCTTCCTCTTCTCTTCCTCTAGATGGCCTTATGCAAAGACTGCTGAGACCATGAAGGAGCTTGGCTGCAAGCACGTGAACAAACACGTCACCGAGGCCCACGTGGACGTGAGGAACAAGCTGGTGACCACCAGTGCCTTCATGTGCAATGCCCCCCTGCACGAGGTCTACCAGGGCATTGGGGCAATGGTGAAGGAAGTGCTCAGGCTTGCCTGAACCCCCACGGCCACAGAGCCCAGCCCAGCTGAGGAGCTGCCAGGGTCACGCCAGCCTGACCCGACACGTGCCCATCCTGCCAGCAGGAACTCCTGAGGCAGTTCTCACACCCCACCTCTGCCAGTCCCCCACAGCTCCCCACGTCCCTCTGCCCCACAGAGCAGAGTTAGCAGCCAAAGGAAGGTGGTTCTGCTGCTGAATAAACCCTGGTGCTTTCCCCATGGGCTGAATGCTGCTTCCATCCTTCACCCCGGGCTAGGAGAGGCACTGGGACACCAGCAGCAGGGACACCCTGCTGCTAGAACCCCCCACTTGCAGGCAGCAGCAGGCAGAGGGGGGGGTCTCCCACCCGTGGAGGCTGTCCTGAGGGGCACACTGTGCTCCTGATGAACCCTTCTGATTGCTGAGAACAAAGATATTCATTTCATCTTGGCTGCTAAATGAAACAGTCTGAGGTTTTGATGAGCCCTTTGTCACTTACACCTTCCCCTCGTGTTAAAATCAGGAATCTGATTTTCCTTTTTCCAGTTTTCTACAAGGGGGGTATGGTACCATAAGGGACTGCAAGAATCACAAAGGAATAAATTAAATGGCCCCAGCACGGGACACTTCTAAGATTCAGCTGCACAGGGTGCTGGGCCAGCTTGTCCAGATGGGGCTTTGGCCAGGAAAGGTTGGACCAGATGATCCTTGAGGTCCTTCCAACCTGGGGTCCTATGATGGATCAATTTTGAGGCAGGAATTCAGTCCCTGACATCAGCAGCTCCTGAATCCAGTTCAGATTTCTGGAAAGGAAGAATTTGTCCCTCCCTGAAAGTAGCACAGGAGAACACCAGAGGGAGTGGTGGAACCAAGAGAAGCAGCAGGAGGGCACAGGAGCTTGTTTCCTTCCAGCCCAAGGCAGAAACCACCCTTCAGTCCTGCTCTCACCTCCACCAACACTTCAGAGACAGGCTCTGCTGGAGCTGCCACCTGGAGGGAGAAACTTTTAGTAAGTAGGGCCCCTTGGAAGTTGAAACACTTCAAGTACCAACTCTTCAAGTCCCTGGAGAAATGGTTTCACTATTTGTCAGCAGACCCCACTGTAGGGTTTGTATTTTTCTAGATCTCTTTCCAAAACTCTGACAGCTTCAAATCAGACACTTTTATTTTAAATATAACCTTGTATTTGCAGCCACCAAATACTCCTGCAAACACAGCAGCAGCACTGTAACTTTCCTCTTCTTTTGCAAGATTTCTTTAAATGCACGAACTGAAGAGCAGGAAGTCAAGATGCAGCATTTGATTCACTTCCTTTTTTTTTCAGTCTAAAGAATATGCTAAAAAAGGGGGATAATCACCATAAAACAGAGTATAAAAAGCAGATCCCTGCAAACACCTCAGAGAGAGTTCACTCTAGCTGGGCCCAAACCAAGATATGATACCAAGAACTTCAACTGCTGGGAAGTGAAGAGATCTCCAGGGTCTGGTTTTGAGTCCTCCCCTCACCCAACCACAACCACCTGCCACGTGGTTTTCAGTCAGAGGAGGATCTGAAATGCTGGCACTGGAAAAGGTGATTTGTGTTTGGAACACAAGGCTGTAAACATCTTCAGAGCACAAACAAGCAGCCACAGGTAAATGTCAGCAGTGAGTCACTGTCCACAGACACACAGGGCTGCAAAAAAACCACTGACCTACATTTCCTGCTGTCTCCAAAAGAACTGGAAAGACTGAAAAAAAAAAAATGAGGCACCTACCAACATATACACACGAGTGCAAAAGAAAAGAAAAGCCTGTTTCAGTACAAGCTGGTCTTCTTCATGATCCTCAGGAACTCCTCCTCGTTGACCTCCCCATCCCCATCTCGATCTGCTTCGTCGATCATCTCCTGCAAGAGGTTTGTGTGCAGAAATTAGGTGAGGATTAGAGGAATTCAGGTTTAGAACCATTTTTTTTAGTAAATTCTATAGGAGGGGGCAGCATCAGCTGGATGGCAGGTGTTATGTTACAAAATACTGACTGAACCACACACTGGTATGGTTTTATATTTATATTCCTATAAAAATCTACAGAGCAGCTGTTGAATTATAGGAACTGTACTGGAAAAAAACCCAAAGTTGCTCCTTTTACATCACTATGATGCCATAAAATTGCAGCTTTACTGATGCAACGTTGACAGCTGTGAAGGGTTAACCCACCTCTGAGCACAGGACCCATTTCCTAAGCCCAAAGTGACAGGAGCTGCCCCGTGTCTGCCAGCAGAGGGACAGCAGGTTGGCCCAACACTGCAAGTGTAAAGAACTCCCAGGAGTCTGAAGACAGTGCCCAAAAGTGAGAGAGACAGCTCCCCAGACAGGAGGAGAGTTAAACTGTGACTGTTTAGAGAGGTATTAACCAAATGTAAGGGGAACAGAGCTGGGGAAGGGTCTAGAGGCCAAGTGTGGGGAGGAGCAGCTGAGGGAGCTGGGGGTGCTGAGCCTGGAGCAAAGGAGGCTCAGGGGAGACCTTCTGGCTCTGCACAGCTCCTGACAGGAGCCTGGAGCCAGGCTGGGCTTTTCTCCCAAGGAAGAAGGGACAGGACAAGAGGAAATGGCCTCAAGTTGCCCCAGGGGAGGTTGAGGTTGTCCCTGAGGAACAATTTCTTGCTCTGGAGGGTTGCCCAGGGCTGTGCCAGGCTGCCCAGGGCAGTGGTGGAGTCCCCACCCCTGGAGGGGTTCCCAAGCCGTGGAGATGTGGGGTGAGGGACACGGGGCAGTGGGGACCTGGCAGGGCTGGGGGGATGGTTGGACTCCAGGAGCTTACAGGTCTCCTCCAACCTAAGGAACTCTATGATTCTAAACTCAAAAGCAAGTACCACACTAGTTTTCTGTGGCTGCCTTCCTATTCCATGGGCACAGTGCAACCTGGACCCTCCTGTGCCCAGCAGAAGGGAGGGTTTGTGCAGGACACTGTCCCATGTCCCAGGTACCAACCTGCAGCTCCTCATCTGTCAGATTTTCCCCCAGTTCCTTGGCGACACGTTTGAGGTTTTTGAAAGAGATTTTGCCAGTCTCATCATCATCAAAGAGTCTGAAAGCTTTGAGAATCTCCTCTTTGGTATCTTTTTCAGCCTTGAAGAAGTTAAATGGAAGTTTAAGGAAAAAAAGCAGTGGCTATATTATAGGTAACACTTAAATTTATAACAGAGAAGTGCCAGCTAGGCTGAGAAACTCTCTAAAGAACAGAGTTGGAGCCCAGCTGAAGGTAGAGAGAGATGCAGTGATGCTTCCTGAACCTCAGGGAACTCTTCTTCCTTTCATAGCCAGCCAGAGGTCTGTGGGATTTCACTATCAGGATCAGGTTTGACTCAGCATGGCTTTTAAAAGCAGAGATTTCATCTGTAAAGAACTTAAACCTCCAGAAAAGGAAATGCAGAGAGTTGCCCCAGAGCCCCCCACGGCACATGTCCACACTCCTGCTTTCAGTTTTCCCCCTTTCCTCCCACAAAAATTGTTAAAGAAACCCATGAGGGACAGAATTGGTTCAACTTTACCTTGAAACATGGGATGGGGTGGTGCCCATCCTGCCCTTCTGTTTTGTTGTAAAGATTAAAACAAAGCTTTCACCTCCCACTGAGCCCCAAAGGGAGATGAAAGGGACTTGGCCCTCTGTAAAAACCCTTCCACTTTGGCTTTTAAATCATCCATACCATTTTCTGTGTCATCACTACCAAGAAGTCACTGAAGCTGATTTTCCCTGTCCCTTCCTTATCAATATCTGAGATCATTTTCTTGATCTCTTCTTTCTTAGGTTCAAAGCCCAACGCTCTCATGGCCACCTGCAAGGAGAGAAAAAAAAGTGGATAAATCACACAAAATGATAAAGAAAACTGCAGAGGAGGGAGGGGAAAGCTGAGAAAGTCTTGGGAAAAAACGTTTCTCTGAGAAAATGTGGATTTTTTAATGAAGTCTCAGGCTATCTGGTTTTGGGAGAGGCTTTTTAAGATTCCTGTGATGAGCACTCAGAGCAGAGAGTGCTGCTTTGAGGAGGAGTTTGAAGGAAAAGCCCCAAACTGTCCCACAGTGCTGTGGACAGCAGTTTCCAAGGCTCTGGGAAAACTGGATGTTATTTAATTCCTAAATTATTCAATAACTGATAACAGAACTCATAAATAACTTATAAATTCAGTAACATTCAATTCCTGTCAAGGGAATTGCTGCTGGCATTCCCTTTGCAATGAGAAAGGAGACACTGGATGATAATAATAATAATAATAGCAGCTTGTTTCAGGCTCTGAAGCCCCAGAAACATCTCCACAAATCCTCCTTTATTGATCACTCTTCTTCCCAGGGGTGGGGAGGGACCAGGAGTGTTTCACAATAAATAAAACCAGGACAAGGGGTAACGTTGGGGTGTGATTCATGGCATGAAAAACCCAAATACACAAAAGGGAACCCCCCACCCCCCTTTTTAGTGTGCACTTCTTGATGTTTTACTAGTAAAGGAGACAGGACAAAAATACAGGACTATTGATGTATTTTGGCCTGTCCAGCCTTGAAGAAACCTGATAGCAGCAGTAAACAGCTAAAATTTAAGAGAAAAAAGTACCTGCTGACAACAAGGTTTTATAGAATCATTTTGGTTGGATGAAACC